AGGTTTTTTTTTTAAGTTAAAGAAACATAGCAAAATCAAACTCAATGCAAAATAATTAACAAGGAAGAAAAAAATTAAATCAAATGCACGAGTAGTAAAGAAAGTCTCGCCGATGAAGAAAACAAAATGGCCGAAATTAAAATAAAAATATTTTCGACAAACAAGACTAGCGTATAAAAATTAGAAAGGGAAATAAAATTTAATAAAACTTTGGCTTAAAAGCGAAAGGATATCAAAAATAAAGGAAAATGATTAAACACTTACAACAAAATTAGAAGAAAAATAATCAAAATGACTAGTGTAACAAATAAAAAATGTTACACTCGAAAAATAGAGAAATAAAATTGTCCTTAAGCCGGGTTGTGAATAAAATATAATGTCAAATGAAAATAAAAAACAAAATACAAAAATCGCAAAAGATGCAGTCAAATTTTTAAAAAAATGTAATCAAAATAACTTTAAAATTTTCATTTTTGCGGGGCAGGTTCTGAAAAAATAAAAATGAGTTGTAGTCTACGCAAGTCTTAGTAGGTTACACACAGAGCAAAAAGCTTTATTTTATTAATTTAGCGTTAGCAATGTAATACGTTTATTTAATTGTGATGGATGGATGTAAGCGAGACGGGAGATGGGATATGCTTATTTTATTACCACTGCTGCATTGATTTTTATTTTGCTATAAAAATGTTTTTTGTTTGGAGGTTCACTATTTGTTCATAGCTGGGAGTCTAACAGATGCTACCACTCCGGATCATGGTGGACCTGGAGCTAACAACAGTTAAATGGTCGTTCCACGCTTCTCAATCGATCAGAGGCCTTGCTGCCAGATGGAGTTTATCGTCATACCTAGACATGATCCCGGATTATGTGGAATCTCTGGAGCGTTTCATCCTTGGCTTACAAGAGCAGTTCTTTAAAAAAATCTACAAGAGCGCTTTCAAAGGTATTTGGAGTAAACTAGATATGGGCATATAAATATATACACATACATATACACAAGTAAATTCTATATTATGTTCGACGCTATTTAGTTTATCGAAAAGATCAGTGAATTTTGTTTTGCAGGGATGTGTTAATAAAGCATCGCAAGTCAGCATTATCTTCTCTTCTAGATAAATTAACGTCGAACGTACGATATAATGCCCTTATGAAGCAAAAGCAAACATTACATTATTTTTCTTAACGCATATACTTTAGCAAGCTGACATAAACACGAAAGCACACATAAGCATATACACGCTAGCACGTTTGATTTTTAATCATTTCACCCTAAGCAAGGCAATAAAGCAGCTAAGACTCAAGGGGTTAGTGAGTGTGAGAGAATATGAAAAAAAGAAGATATTATGAAAGAGAAAGAAGAAGAATAGAAGACTAATGATGAAAACAGAATATAACGATTGACATTACATTTCCATTTTTGAAAATCAAACTTGATTGGAAAGCAGTAAACCGGAAGAATGTTCGACAAGCGAGAAGTGTGAGAGAAGCAACTGTTAGCCTAGAACATACAGTTATATTTCAATTGTAAAAGAATGAGACCTTACCGCCCATCTAGTACTGCGCTTAAATTCATAAAGTCTAGATACTATAGAGCAATGTTTCTCAACCATTTATTTTACCCATGGACCAGTTTTATTCTTAAGATATTTTTTTTGGGGGTCTTCTATAATCCTTCGATGAAGAAAGGCTTATTTTATTTTTTACTAATAGATAACTTTAAGAATATTTATATAATTTTCCCCTCTATATATAATCATTCCTTTATATATCCTTCTAAGTTTTTATTCAACTTTTACAATCAAAATATCCGTTAGAATAAAATTTATATTGCTTGATCTCTGTTTTCTTTGACTTGTTTTTCTACTTTTAGTATTTTAATATGGCGTAGATTACTGAAGAAATTCCAATTCTCTGTTGTAACAATTGTTCCGAAGTGAAATTACTCTATGCACAATAACAAATTTTATACTTTTGTATGGACCCCCACTAATGTTGCACGAACCCCGGGGTCCATATGGCCTCGGGTTGAGATCTTCTTCTATAAGAGAAAATTTATGAGTTTCCCTTAAAATATTTATAGAAACCTAGGTAAAAACACGCGTACAAACACATACACACAAATCCACGCCAGTAAATACATAAACGCATGAACAAACGCACATATATATCAGTTCATACATATTCACACAATCACATGCATACACACAAACACATACGCTCAAAAACACTGGTGTATATACATATAGAAAAATATGTATACACAATAGAACATCTACCTGCATAAAAAAACAAACACATGCACACTAAGGAATTGACAAACGTATACACTCGTGTGCTTCATTTGATTCATATTAGATGAGGCTGAAATAAACTACCAGTTGTATGAGCAGGTTAACCTGTGAGGTCACCATCGAGCTGTCATTTTGGCTCCCTCAATATGTAAACACGTGACCGATCCAGCTTTGCCTAGGATGAGCGCGCCTGGGAAAAACCATATGACAAGTAGATATATACATATATATATACCCTGGCCGAGACATAAAAGCAGACAGGGCCTTTCACGTGCTGGTTAGATGCAGAATTCACTCCAAAAACACAGCTGCTGGTCGACACAAACTGACAAATTCCGAATATGTTACGTAATAGAAATTTCGTCTCGGTCTTTTGTCATTATATCTGTACGGTGATAAACTTAACACAAGTGCAAATAAATATCTAAAAATATACGCACAATTACATACATGTGAACACGGACGCATGCACATGAACGCAAATACGTATTCACGCATATATTTAGTAGTTTAATAATTTAAACTTAGTCTGGCACAAGGTTCTATATTAAGAGCTCAGTGATATTCGGAAATACGATACTAGATAAATGCTGTCCGAACGAATCAAATCAACCATTGCTAATAATTGTTAGTATATTCAGCTTGTAAAATCTCTAAATGTCAATGTACACAGATATTCACAGACTCTTCTCTAAAGTATTTGTCAGGGATTTCAATATTAATACATTATTCCGGGATATCTATTAAGCGTACTTCGTTAGAAACAAAGAAAGTGTATTGAAATAAACGATAATAACAGCCCTCCTATGGCATTGAATGATGGACAATCTCCTCACTGTTGAAAAAGAGACTTGAAGCAAAAGTAATGTGGTTCTACAGAAGGGCGTTGAGAATTCTATGAACATGTGAGCAACGAGGATGTTCTAACGGAAATGCAAACCAAAAGCGACACTTAGAAACAGAAAGTGACGGTTGAAATTTCTAGGGGATATAATGGGGAAAGAGGACTTCAGAATGTGACACTTTCAAGACATACTGAGGCCAATAGGGACAGACGAAAACAGCGCATAACCTGACTAACCAGCTTGTGTAAATCGGTGCCAGAACAGGGTTTAGGAGAAATAAGAAAAACTTACTAAATGTTATTAAGGATAGGAAATTGTGTAAAGCCATGATCGCCAACGTCTTGAAAGGGCACGGCATATAGAAAATGATGAAGATATAACCCTCTGTACCATGCTAACAAGCTTCATCTCCCCTAATTTGTCTTTCTCCTAGACTGCTTGGCCATCAAGACTGAAAAAAACATTTTTCCCTTTTAATTAACTTATGGCAACACACTATATCAGTTCATATGTAGCTACGTCTATCAGTATTTTCACATCTATCTGTCTATCTATCTATCTATCTATCAAATTTCATATGTAGCTCTCGCTATCAGTATTTTTGTATCTATCTCCCTATTTCGTTCTGTGTCCGTCCATACTGTTCTCTCTCATCTTTCTCACATCAAAACAATTTCCCTCTCCCATTCCCAACCCGTGCTTCATTTTTATCCGTTTTATATTCTATCTAATCAAATATTTCCTTTCCTAAAATCTCCTAATAAACACTTTGCAAATGAACATCACCCACTTCGTCTAATCTGAAATCTTTATTGTTTTCCGCACAACATTAGTTCTTTGTTCCCAATTCTGTTCAACATGTCGATCTTATTTGATTCGGTCACTTGTACGCTTGCAATTAAACCACATCAAGGTAGTTCGAATGAGACGAATAAAAAAAAATGAAAATATTAAATATAAATTGTTGTTTTTCTTACTTGCTGCTTTGCACGTGTATGTACAAAAAGGTCGATTTTATCTAAAACATTACTACCATTAAGTACCAGTAATGAATGGATTCATTAATTAAGTACCAGTAATGAATGGGTTCATATTAGCGAATTGTTTTGTGAAAGAAACCCTAAGTCAGGCACCATAGGATTAATACACCACCACCCCCACAGGCACCCCACCATATATATATATATATATATATATATATATATATATATATATATATATATATATGAACATTTCTCAGAGTTAACCTGTAGAAAAGACAATATTTATAAATATAAATGACAATAGGAAAACTGTAGTTATTGCCAAAACTGTTCCTCCCAATATATTGAAAAAAAAAAGTAGAAATTTGAAAAAAAAAAAACGCATTTATGAGCACAAAAGAGACCTCACAAAAAGCAACTTAGCTAATGCACTAGTCATACATAGAAATAAATTCAAGCATAATTTTGATTTTAAAAATGCTACCCTCATCTCAGAAGGAAAATTCTAGAGAGTGCCGCCATAGAATATTATCCAAATATTAATCTATGCCCAGGCTTTTTCCCTATTTCGCCTTTCTTAACAAAATTACTGCTCTCCCAAACAAACTTACACAACAATATCGTAAAATCAAAAGAAAATGGTTGAATCCGTCAACACAGCTATAATGACAATATTCTCCACACATGACAATAACTGCCGTTATTTTCATTTAACAATATAAAAATAGCTTTCTCTACATTCCTACAGTTGCTAAGAACATTCTGTTTTTTGTTATTATTAGTTACTTTCTTTAATTAAATTCATTTCGTTTTTGCTTTGAGAAAGTCCACATTAGACGAAACGCGTCAGCAATTACTAGTTTTCCTATTGTCATTTATATTCATATATATATATATATATATATATATATAGAGAGAGAGAGAGAGAGAGAGATAGATAGATAGATAGATAGATAGATAGATAGATAGATAACGATAACTAAGATTTAAAATTAATTTTATTTAAATTAAATGTATTGAATGTCTTTCTTGGAGATGTTATATTTGTTTTAATTTAATACGAATAGATTAAATTTAATAATTCCAATAAGCAATATAAATTGCTGCATTTCAAATCAAATTAAAATAGATTGTTTTTTATCAATAAAATCTATAAAATCGTCCATAATTACTAATCATTTAATACAACATAATTCTCTATATTAAAAAAAAACTCTTTGAATATTCAAACATCAGTCAAGTATGGGCCATGTGTGATACACGCTTAGGCGATCATTCGATACGTGACTGACGATGAAGATTTTTTCCTGCAGTAGGTTGCCATTTCTTTCTCCGGAAGACCAGTTGCCGTCTATAGTACCCGGTCTGTCCTGCTATTTACCCATAGCTGAGGAGAGAAGAGGAATCATACCTTTCCAAAGTGTATTAGCACGTATATGAATGTAATGGACTCGCCTGGAATTCGAACCTGGCTCTCTGATTCCTCAATCCGTGCCTCCTCTTTAGAATTCGAACCTGGCTCTCCGATTCCTCAATCCGTGCCTCCTCTTTGGAATTCGAACCTGGCTCTCCGATTCCTCAATCCGTGCCTCCTCTTTGGATCTCCGATTCCTCAATCCGTGCCTCCTCTTTGGAATTTGAACTCGGCTCTCCGATTCCTCAATCCGTGCCTCCTCTTTGGAATTTGAATTCGGCTCCCCGATTCCTCAATCCGTACCTCCTCTTTGGAATTTGAACTCGGCTTCCAACGTTTCTGAAAAGTTATCTGAAAAAATTTGCTGATTTAACGTTTAATTAATAGTAACTGAAACAAATATTAATTACTTTTCGTTTCAAATATCGCAGAAAAGCACTTTAAACACGGGGGTGGGTATAATTCTGAGGTTTTGACACATTTATTGAGAGGTTTTATGTTTGTGAAATTTATGATAATTTATGACATAAATGTAATAAAATTACATGACGAATACAACGTAAAAGACTTTTTTTTATATAATTTTATTGCCTGCCCAGAGATTTTAAAAATGTAAAATATTTTTAAATTTATAATATTTTATTGAATTTTATGTACTTTAACTTTATAATCTTCCTTACGAAAAAGCTTGTTGAAGAAATGTTAGAAAATGACTAATACATTTATTTTTTGATAAGGTAGTGTATGGGCATCCGCAGTTATAAAAATCGGCACGTTTATACAAAAAAAAAAAAAAAAAAATATATATTCAAAATAGTGAAGGTCGAGGAATTGTAGTAAATTTTTCCCTTTTTGGATAAGTAAATACAGTTTTGATTTAATAAAAATATCACGTGACCGCTACAAATTAATAGAGAATTTTAAAAGAATAAAAAGTTTATAATTTCTTCATTTTTACGATGAATAATGAATTTTTACAAGAATTGTTTTCATTTATTTTAATTGAAAACAGTTCTTGTAAAATTTCCATTATTCATCGAGCATTTGTTTTCGGAAGACAAGAAAGTCCGTATTATATTTTATTCAACATTTTTTTTTAATTAAATAATGTCTCATTTTTAATGTTTCTTTTTATTTTACGTTTCAGAATAGATTTAAATTCGCCGACGATTTGTAACGACAAATAATAAAAGCATTAAGAGATACAAAAAAGTATTTCTCGAAATTTCATAAAATTTCATAATTAGCGAGTATCGGATTAAAAATACATATATATATATATATATATATTTCCTTAAGATTTGTGAATAAGTCGTGAAAATTTCATAGAAATTGAACAATTTTGCAATCATTTCCAAATCAGTGTGTTTTTCACCTTATAAAGATGTCCAGATTTCCGAGGCTAATTTATGATCCCAGAAATCAAGAGTTTTAATGAAAGTTTCGAAGATTCTGAAAAAGCATTTAAAAATATAATTTTTACATAAAAACACTTTTGGTCATTCCTCTTAATAATAGCGCAAAATGTTGACGATAAAACTTTGTTTACATTAATTGGGGGGCATTTTTTCACCATGTTTGTTTATTTTAACAAATATTTGAAGGTACCTATATATATATATATATATATATATATATATATATATATATATATATATTATTTATTTAAAAATATGATTCCAACACACTACATAAGAGTTCTCATGATTCAAAACAAGAGCCGAAAACTTCAATATAATTATTTGAATTAAATTGAATTAAAGTACTAAGCTCTATTCCATCTTCAAGGGAAATTTTTTGGAATAACTTATTTCTGAAATTTACGCGTTTTATAAGTATATTCATTATTGAAATTAAGATTACTATGGTAACAGCTAGTGCAATTATTTAAAGCAAAGGGGCGTAAGGTGTTAATAATTTTTATCAATATCTCAGTTACATTCACAGATGTCAAGTCAGGGTAAGGTTGGGGTGTCTAAATTTAAAACGGAAGATGACATCGTCCAGTCTGGTTAAGTGTCTATGGATTTTTTTTTTTTTTTTTTCTGAAAGGATTTTGTGTATATAAAAACTGTCGTAAATCGCTAACATTTGTTTTTTGACGACTTCATAAAGGGTTATCTTTTTTTGTAGGGCATTTAAACTATTTATTAGGACTATGGAATTTAAAGATTATTTTATTGTTTGTTTGTTTTTATGCTAATTATTCAATGAAAAAAATTGATGATGTCGGCAAAAAACCGTTAACTCATGTCTATTGTTTAATAGATTTTTATTATTTAGAAACTTAATAATGTGTAGTTTTTCATGTAGGCATAAAGGGCATGGGTCATCCCAAGTTTTACAAGTTCTAGTTTTGTTTATAATTTTCCATTTTACTTTTGGTGTTTTATTAATTTCCTTCAAATGCCAAAAATATTTAGATAGAGATGTCTGATTTCTTTTATTTATATTGTTGAAAGAGCACTTATGCTGCCTCCATCTGGCTTTAAGTTCATTCTTCGTAGACCCAATGTATATCATATTAGTATTAGGATTCTCAATGGATGAGATAGTACATTGGTATACCACAGATTTTACGCGGCATTTATTTTCCAATGGGCAGTCTTCTGGGTGTCTACAATCACAATTTTTCACTATTTTTGTCTAATTTAAGTGTAGGGTTTTTATTAATACTATTTAAGCATGGGGGTTTGTTCAGGGTGTTATTATTGTGTTTTATTATTACACTTTCTAGATTTTCAGTGCAGCTGTAACTTAATTTTAGGGTGTTTTTATTAAATATTTTACTAAGTCTACTATTGGTATTGGTGTTTTTCAATTAAAGCTAGGAATTTCTGTCCTAGCTTAATACTAAGCATTTGGTTGAACGTAGGGGTATACCAAATGATTTTTCTTTTCCTGTTTTTTTCTGGTTAGTACAATTGTTTCTATAATTGATGTTAGCATTTTTGTATCCACTATTTTTTAGGGCTGCGTCTTAAAAGTTACTGTGTTGTTGGAATATTTCTTTATTAGCGGAGTTAATGCTGATTCTATTCTCTATTGATGAGGGTATATGTTTAATTATGAATGGAGGGTGGTTTGACTTCGGGTGTATATATAAGGGGACAGTATTTGTTTTTTTATAAAATTGGTATGTGTTGTTTGTTAAATCTAGAGGAAGTTTACCCTTTTCAATTTAGTACAGACTGTTATTTTTAAGTTTAGATTTTTAAATTCACTAAATATAATCTTTCGAATTTTCTCTATTTTAAAATTAGTAGAACTCCTCACTACCATGATCCCGTCATCTCTATACAGTCCGATGTCCTTAATATCTATTTCACGGTGCGCGGTCAAGTTGTACAGTATTAAAAGACCAACAAGGTCAGATGACTCTGCAGAGTCTAATGATCCCATAGTGATGCCAAAATGGTCATTATTGTTTTTTATCCATTGGTCCCCATTATGAATGAGGACAGATTTTTTTTGCACTGAGAATTATATCTATTTCTTTCTTTGTCAGGTTAGAATACACAGCAGCAAACTTCAGGGCAGTCGTGAATAGATCCTTCGATATTGACCGGTAGTAATCCATGATATCGAACTGTAATACGGTGCAATCCGGTTTATTATCAATATTGGTAAACCAACTGATGACATCTTTGGTATTGATTCATAATTTTAAAGTAATTCTTTCCAGGATTCTTTTGCTGATCTTTCCTATGTCGGGTCAGGTAGGGTTAATTATTCTTGTAGTAGGGTTAACCATAAAATTTTGTTTATGGTCCTTAAGAGTTATGTAACATTCCTTTTCAGCAAGTTTGCCTACTCTATCGCTAATTTTTAATTTATCAGTAATTTTTTTACTAGCTCTGTTAATGATATTAACCATATTTATGTTGTTGTTGCAAGTTTTTTTATAAGTCCTGGTTAATTTTTTTTAATTAAGTTGTTGTCGTCATCTGCTGCCAATTTGTAGAATTGCCAGTTTTGTCAGACTTAACTAGTATTTTATCACAATCATTTATGCTTTTAACTATTTGGTCTAGATGTTTTTGGAAGTGGCTTTTCTTTTTTTGAAAGGAGATGTTATTGATAATGTTGAGTAGGTCTTTTTCAAATTCATATATTTTTCACACACACATATATATATATATAGAGAGAGAGAGAGAGAGTGAGAGAGAGAGAGATCTGGATTGAAACAAGCATGCATACATCTCTCTCTCTCTCTCTCTCTCTCTCTCTCTCTATATATATATATATATATATATATATGTGTGTGTGTGTGTGTGTGTGTGTGTGTGTGTGTGTGTGTGTGTGTAAAATGCCTCGTTTAGAATTTTATCTGATTGGTGTTTTACATTGTTTTCCTAAGCGCTGTATTGTTTACTTAGAAGAAGCCCCCGTATCTGGGACGTCACTCTTTCTTTTTTTTTCAGTAACGCGTCGACACACACACACACGGCGCATTTTGTCGACGACGCTCTTGATTACATATTGGCACAGGTGAAAAGTACACCGTGTGACATTGAAAATGACAAAAGAGACAAGGCGAACGGCAAAGCTGGGCTGGTCACAGC